CACGCAAGTGAATATACTAACTTATTATACTCGTCGAGTAGACAATCATAATATATTTAGAATTTTAAATACAGAACCGAACGGAACCGAACCGAACCGAACCGAACCGAACCGAACCGAACCCGAACGGTTCCATAATTATATTTGGACCCGACGGGTCCATTTATTAAATACCCGAAAGTTTTGGGTCGGTTCGGATATCTTCAGAACCGAACCGAACCGACCCATGGACAGCCCTACCAAAATGCATTCTTAAGAAAAAAAAATGGGGCTAATGGCGTAGGCGCAACTTTTCTCTCTTTTTAAATGTTGTCTCTAACTTTTGGGTTTTCACTAAGCCCACACTTAAAGAAACAAACTTGTCATATTTAACATAGTATTTGTCTATTCTCAATAATGTCTAAGCATAATATCATGGATTCATGGACTTAGCCTTTCAAGCTACCATGCAATACTTAGCTATTCGACTCTCCGCCCTTTGCGACGCTACATATGTCAGTCTCTAAAAAGTTTATGGAACTTTAATGTGAGTTAGATGGCACAACTGAAATGAAACCTCGAAAGGGAAAAAAATAGTAGCATGAGATGTTGGAATTTGGTTAAGTAAAAACCATGGAAAGTTTGATTTTGTATCAATTTCGGCCAAATATTCGAATAAGTTCCTATAGTTAAATCACGCAAGTGAATAGACTAACTTATTATACTCGTCGAGTAAACAATCATAATATATTTAGAATTTTAAGACCAATTTCGGATGAATGAGAAATTTTTATCCAAACTTGGAAGGAAAAAATCGAAATTTTAGCATATGTAGGTGCCACTCGAATGGCAGCCTAGTGTCAAGCGAGTGCCATGCCCTCTACTTTGGGCGCTTGAGCGGCATTCCAATGGTAGGAGAGTGACCTAATGGGCTACAATCCTTGATGAAAGATGCTGAGTTTCGGAGACCCCTTGGTTGCTGTAATATCATTCCATAACATATGCATTGATTATATTGCATCAAATTCATTGCATTATATTGGTTTCTTGCAATAGTATAATGATTATGATAGAGAGAAAAACCTCGTTTCGAGTTTGCTGGTCTTCGTTGTTATGAGGGCCCTTATTACAAAACGTGATCGTTGTATCTTGGAAGACGAATGTCGAAGATTGCTAGCACCCATGCATGGCATAATTGTCTTAAGGACAAAGAGTTCAACGGTTGCTTTCCTTTTTCTGGTTTTAAGTTCTTATAACTTTTTGTTTTGATTCCATGTTATGTATGATTTGATTCTTCCGGTAAGAAGAAATTAATTCTCTACATTTCATATTCAATTTTGATAAGTGGAAATTATGTTCAATTTTATATTGAAGGAAAGGTATGTTATTGAATATAATAATACGCACGTTATTATTTTTACCAACAATCTTAAGACGATTATTGTTGTGTATATTATATTTTGCCATGCATGAAATTGATTAAATCGGTTTTGTTTTAACGATATTATTAAATGCATAGTAGCCGACTATTATGTTGTGTATACTAAGGCAAGTCATCTTTGTTGTATTTGAATGGCATTAGCTTCTCCGTTGAATTTTTGTGTGGTGCATATAATGTGAATGGAGAAACTGCAATGTGTTCCAATTTCGAAATAGATGCAATAGAAGGCAATCAGAAACTTGAGACAGGTTATATTATACTCATCTATATGGATTTTTGTAATTTGTTTCCTTCAATTCAAGGATTGATGGATCATGTTACTATGAGAATGAACTATTATATATTGCATGTGTGTAGGGGCTATACTACACGTGTCATTTCGTCTTCTTTGTTGAGGAATCATAATTGTAATTGCCAACGGGTGCATCCATTCATTTTAAATAAGTTGGCTATCTTTTATGATATGTATGCCCACTTATCGTGTTGAGTATTGTTCTAACTTTGGTTGATATACGTGTTACTGTATTTGATGATAATAACCTCAATTAATTTGATAAAAATTAAGCGAGATGGTTTGTGCAAAGCGAAGATAATTTTGTATTATCACGATTAAAATTGCACAATAGGAGTGTGTTTATGCACTATGACAAAATATGATGGATGCAATGTTTCATTCACATCCTCTTGAGATAAATTAACTGCCATATGAGACTTGGATTCAAAATAGTTAAGTTATTTGGTATTACATGACAAATAAAGTGAAGAGGTGCCTTTATTCTTTGAAATGAGATGATACATTTTGGCACTATCTTGTGAAATGTCACAAGATTGATAAAGTGCATACATTAAAAGAAGTTGCAATTCGTGTGCATCAAGATGCTTAGCCTTCTTCAAATTTGTACTATAAGGCACTAAAATATGTATATAGTTATGAGCACTTATATTGGCATCTTTATCTAATTTACTCAATATATTAAATTGATATATGTTGTTGGACGTTTTGAAAGCATTGTTGGTTTACTAATCTTAAATTATATTTGGATTTTGGTCAAGTTTGTATGATCCAATTGTGTTATTTGTGAGTTTACAACCACAAATTCGAAAGTGCTTGGACTTTCACAAAGCATTGTCGTTCTCGATCATTTATATAATGCACATTATCTAATTGATAGATGAATTGAACTTTAAAAGAGTTGAAAAACTCTAAGTTTGAGTATAACCTAAAATTGTGGAGTTATCTTTTATGCTTGCAAATTTATATGAAAATATCAAGAGTTATAAATGCAACATTACTAGTTGCGTATACATTCTTAATTGAGGAATTGTGGGGGTAACCTATTACTTTTCTTATACTTTATAAGTCATAGAAAAACATTCTATAAAGAAGGAAAGATAGAAAGCCCTTTTACTAATTATAAGGATGACTCAGAAAGACGAAGTGGCATAAAGGTGGATTTTATTGGAAAATCGATTATTACAATTGTATTGGATATGCAATAATGGTATTGAAATATTTAAGAATATTCATAAATAGTAGTGCATTGTAGTTGATAATGGTTCGATGATGTAAGTTGAACACATATTCTCAAATGTTTCAAAATCCACTACGAAAAGTTATTTGCCAGGGCAAATGCAATCGCAGATTGAATAAGGCATAGCTTTAGATAAAGTTTGATAAAAGCATTGGCTAGATGTCTTTATGAGAGGATTCCATAGTTGGTGACTATTTGTATCTATTGTGATTACTAGCTATATTTAATATGATACAAAGTATGTCAAATTAATGTAGTTGATCTATGAAAGTATAAACTTGTGAATCCATTAAGGAACTGTTTTCCAAAAGATTAAATAAATTGCATATCGAAGGGAATGTGCTTAAAAGCCTACTACATAAGAGTCTTGTGATGGTAACCCAACCCTTTTGACTGAAGATCCCAAAATTTTGGTTCAATAGGGCAACAAAAGTATGAAGATTCAATGAGCTCTTGGGAGTTAACTCGTACAAATTCTTATGATAATAAAAGTGCTATATTGTTAAAAGGTTAAAATACCATTTTAATGATTCCTATATCTTGGAAGAATCAAGAGAAGTATGATTGATACTATTAGAGACCATCCATATAAGTGCGAAGTGGGCTTGCCTAGGTGAGAATTGTTTTGAGTCTCAAATTCTCTAAAACACTTATGAAAATTAAGAGTGATTCAACACCAAAATGGACATAATCATGAAATTCGAAATGATATAGGAAAGATGTTGTGTGAGTGCTGTTGTTTTGGATTACTACAATGGTTGAATGGTTCAAAACATCGCGTTCACCAATTAGCCAATTAACTTCGATAGTATTTTACTAAAGAAGATTCAAGGCAAGAAGCCACCCCTCCTAATGTGATTTCTTTCCGCTTGTCTATATTATCATTTGTTTGTCTAAAATTTTCATTCATGTGGGGATTGTTGGAGTTTGGTTAAGTAAAAACCATTGAAAAATTGATTTTGCATCAACTTCGGTCAAATATTGGAATAGGTTTCGATAGTCAAATCACGTAATTGAATAGACTAACTTGTTTTACTCGTCGAGTAAATGATTGTATTATATTTGGAATTTTAAAACTAATTTCGAATATATGATAAATTGTTGTTCAAAGTTGGAAGGAAAAAAAATCAAAATTTCAACATATGTGAGTGCCGCTCTAGCGGCAGCCTAGCGCCAGACCCTCTACTCTGGGCGCTCAAGCGGCGTTCCAACTGTAGACAAGCGACTTGAAAGGCTGTGACCCTTGATGAAAAATGCTAAGTTTTGGGATGTGTTTCTCCGACTATAACCCCTCACCTTCTATAAATTGGACCACTCGCTTGCTGTAATATCATTCTATAACATATGCATTGATTATATCATATCAAATTCATTGTATTATCTTGGTTTTTCTTGCATTAGTATCAAAGTTATGGTAGAGAGAAAAACCTCGTTTTGAGTTCGTTGGTTTTCGTTATTTGGAAACGCGATAGTTGTATCTTAGGAAATGAATGCTGATAACCGTTAGCATCCTTGCAAAGCATAGTCGTCTTAAGGATAAAAAGTTCTACTCTTACCTCGGCCAAAATCGTATCGGTTGTTTTCCTTTTTTTCTGGTTTTAAGTTCTCATAACTTTCATTTTGATTCCAAATTATGTATGATTTGAATATTTCGGCAAGAAGAAATTAACTCTCTACCTTTTATATCCAATTTCGATAAGTCGAAATTCTGTTCAATTTTATATTGAAGAAAAGGTACATTATTGAATAATATGCACGTTATTATTTTTACCAACACAAGAAATAATAATTAGAGAGAAAATCTCAATTATTGTACTAGAACTCTTCTAGATACTAGCCAACTACTAACTTTGTCGCTACTATGCTCTCACAATTTAGTTACCATACAACCCCAAGCGAACAGTTGACAACAAATTCCAGGGATTGCTGCGAGTTTCTGCATAATAATCGTATCCAATCTCCGTCATTCACACACACACACACACACACATTAGTTACAACTATTCCGGCTCGATATAAGCCCACTGTATTGAGCTCAGCATCTTCATTTACTGTACCTTGCTATTCCTGCATGACGATTTCTTGGCACAATTCTTTTTATTGAGAATCATCCTGAATACACTGAATAAGATTTTCCATCTTCTCTGAGCTTTATCAAGAGGAACTACTGGACGAGGCAGAAAACAACTTACAATACTTTGTAAATCAGCTGATGATTGCATGTTTGAATCCTGAAGTGAACAACCTGTACCAAAACACTTCAACTGCTCATCTGCACAAAATGCTTGACTCATGGAATCTGCATTGTAAAGTAAGGTATTTGCATCTTGAACAGGACTATTGGAAGGTTGCTCGAGCATAATATTCACAGGGTCAACACTATGAAAGTATCCGTCCAGGTTACTCAAGCCTCCAATTGAATACATAGATTGCATAATATCAGGCGAAGACACGTTCTGCTGCAAATGGGAAAATCTGTCGAAGTTTTGAGAACTTAAAACCTTATTGCCATTAGAACTCCCTTCCAGTTGCAGGTTTGAAGAAGATTGTGCAATGGATAAGCACGGGACAAGATCCATAAGAGAAGCCTCATCATCTAAAGTGACAACTTTCTCCCAATCTCTATATGCAGATATTACCAAGTCATAGGCATCAGCCTGGATGAAAAATGGGAAACGCTTGTTCAGAGAGAATACTAAATCCAAGAAAGAAAAGATATAATTGAACAATAAATGGAAGATTTCCATAAGAAAATAGAAAAGGAAGCTTGCCTTCTCTAATTCAGACAGCTTATCACCGGGAATATACCGGCCATCCAAGAATAGTGCCGTCACTTGTCCGACAACATTAAAAACAACACCAATCTTTTGCTGAGATCCAGAAGGATTGTACAAGTGCAATTTCTTGTCAAGCACGCATGTCTGAGCATGCTCCACTGTAACTTCCCACATTTTAGTAGACATACCAGTCCCAAGGATCTACAAGAATTTCAATATACTAGCTGTTACTAAGCACATTAATGGGAAAGCTACGGACAAGGACATGGATGTTGATAAAATATTAACAAGTGGAGTGAACACAACAACATAAAAATCATAGTCGAGCGGACGAAGCTGTGTGAGGAAATGCAACATGAAAATGTAGTATAATCCACATAATATAAAAGCCTTAAAACGAATTCTTATTTGTGATACCAAAGAGACCACTCTTGCTACATGTTTTTATCATAAGCAAAAATTGTAGTATTGAATATTGACTGCACAATGCTCCAAAAAAAATAGAAGAGTTTGAATCTGCAGAAAAACAGTTCTTACATGTCGAAGCCTTGTGGGGTCTAAAAAGAGTAAAATCAGAAAGTCCTTCACAGTTTTCACTCTTTCCTTGCTCAGGCGTTTGTGAAAAGCTCCATCCTTGCCAATTTTTTCCAGCCGCCAGACTTCATCAAGAAGGAATGGAGGGTGGTGCTTCTTGTATACTAAAGGAGGAAAAACTTGTAAATCAATATTTTCATAGAGTCAATTTCATAATAACAGTGATATGCAGATTATTAGATGTAACAATTATACCTTTATTTTTATTTTTTTAACATGTAGACCAATAAGTCCATCAATTGTTATGAAAAACAAAAGAACCAAAGCGCTTAAACCTAGATAATTTGCCCATGGAAATCAGTAATGAACGGTTGGCGTTACCACTAAAGAGTGAAGAACTTGAATCAGGAAAAAATGTTAAATTTAAGATGTTCGTAATCACAAATTAAAAAATGTAAAAATCTACTATTTCGTAAGGAAACACCATCAAAGCAAAAACAAACAACATTAATTTAGATTTTATGAACTGCATTATCATTCCAATGCTTAATTTTGAGGCAAACTTCACAAAAAAACTTATTAGAAAAAAAGCTAGAAGAAAATAAAAAGGAATAGAAACAATGTTCATTGCATTATTCTCAACATTAAATGATGCACAAAAACTTTCGTTATAAAAGTCAAGTCGAGATAATATATGGAGGCAAAAATGGATTAACGAACATGCAGTAAAGAATCATATTCTCTATGTTTTTTAGGAGGTACAACAATTCCTACAGTGGATAGCAACACCTTCCACCACTGACAATACAAAAATAAAATTCGATTCGATTAACTTTTGATGGTCCACATGAAATGTCATCAAGACAGAAGATGTGCATTTTAATAATCTAGTAGTAAAATTACTGCAACAGATTGGAATATTGCATTCTGCAATTGAAAAATGATATCAAAGATAGCTTAGATCCACAAACATATCTTGATGGTCCACCCTACTCATTCTTATGAATATAGTACAACTAATCTGCAAATAAACAGTGACAGGAATATTGTACTCGTAAACGGGTAATTTCGTTCCATTTTTCTAGAAGTAACTATAAATAGAGAAAGGAGAAAGCAATTAAATCACTCACATTCTCCTCGGTGATCCTTAACAACGAAGGATTCTGATCTGGCTTCTCTTATTCTGATCCCATCAATGCTGTCCGCAACTTTCGCCCCAAGCCTGAACTTACGACTTCTTGTCCAGCTTGAGTTGTCAGTAAAGGATATATCCCCTACCACACCTATGCCATCTTTAAGATTCAAAAGTACATCCCCGGTAAGAAGGGGTTTCTTGCCGGTCCTCGCTCTCACTATATTATTTTTAAATTCTTCAAGTGCCCAATTTTCTCCTTCATCACAATCAAAATCCCCCTCAAGAACTACTATTTCCACTGTTGCAGAGCATTCTGGACCACTAGAAACAACTTGGCCAGAGAGAGAATCAACCAAAGCCACTTTCAAATTATTACATTCTTCTGCTATCCGTGTCCCAGTAAATACTGGGAGAGATATAGCATGCAAGAAATGTAACTGTAAGCACCTTGATTCATTATGCTGTATGTCTTTCCCATGACTCCTAGAATGATAAAAAATGAAATCAAAGACTAACAGGATGAACAAAATCATTATCAATATCACGATGCAGTAATCCAGTTTTAATAATATTAGTTGTTTGACTATAGAATCCAATGCCATACCGTTTAATGCTGATCACATATTTTGTCAATGCCGAGTCAACTTCCTCTTTCACCTGTAAGCTCATATTGAATTAATCACTTAATTTCAATAAAGAGGCATTACTGTGAGTCTTAATATTTTACGGGAACACTTAAAAGTAAATCACAAGACAGACTACATATCTGTGAAGTATTCACATTCCGAGAAGAGAACATGTGCATACGTTTAAGCAAGTAATAAATTCAGTCAGAGTAATATAGAACCTTCCACAACCATTTGATAGAGTTTCTAGAGATTTTAGAAGCAAAGATATAAACAAATGCAAGTCTAGCTTTCAGGAACTGTCTGAAGCTGCAAAAGATGCACAACATTTTACCTGCTTCCAAAGAAATATGTTCTTAGGACACACACATGTAAACAAAAAAAACTTTGTAAATTTCATGTTACAGGAAGTGAAATTGATTGAAAAGTTTATTTATCTCAGGGTAGAGGTGGACCAAGGACTGACATGACTGTCTTAGAGATTAGAGATAGCAATCTGTCTTGTAACTGAAAATTCTGTTATGTTTATTTCAATCCAAAGGGGAGTCTAAGGAAACTTGCTATCAAGTCAATAAAAGAAACTTCTCAATAAAATGTTGAAAGCAGATTTTGTTTTTAAAGCAATATATTCAAGACAGACTTACAACTCGACGAATCAAGGGCTCCAGAACTGGCTCAATAAGATGTTGCAGCCGTTGCACGTTTATTGCCTCTAGCACCACACTAAAAAAATACCGAGAAAAGAGTCAGTAACATCATAAACAACTGGTTTTATAAGATTATCTATAATTATTAAACTACACAGGTTAAGTGTTAACACTCTCCATCTCTTAGTACCATTGAATTCAGTCTGGCTCCAAACCTACCACTAAAGCTGTATGTTGAAGCATTCATCATCTCCCAAACCACCTATAATCGATGCAACTTTTACACCAGCAGTTCAGGTTGGTTAACAAATCCTAATCTTTTTGTTCGATTTATGTCTTACCCTTTTTGGACAAAGATCCACCACACCTGTTCAACCTTCCTGTCAATCAAAATTAAGTTACTTCTCAAGGGTACAATTTTAAGTCTACCTTGAACAATCTTAAATAATTTTTCTCCTATTGATACTATTTGTCTCATTTAAATAATGTGTTAATGTTTAATTTAATATCTTTTTTAAATGTGTATCCACCTTGACACACATTCAGATACTTATCATTATTCCCCAGGAGCTAAAATTCAAGTAATGCACACCAACATGCACTCTATTCACTTAGAGCGTTTCCATGAACTCCTTCATTGTTCAAGCAGTATCTCCTACTAACAACACCACACCAAAAGTACATATAGTTTTGTCTCCTTCTCCATTAATTCAAAATGAAAAACGAATATCAAAATTCAAAAATGGGAGACCCCACTTCAAATTTACATAAGGCCATCTCCCCAACTAAAAATGGGTATTCAACAAAATTGTTAAACACCAAATCTCATCATAAATCCACACACAAAATTGAATATCCCAATAAAGTAATTTCTTCCATAAAAGGAAATAAAAACTTGCTTTACCTTCTAAAAGAAGGCGCTCTTCGACGCCGTTTCTCCTCGAACGGAGTTCCTTCAAATCTAGGCTTGGCATCCTCATGCTGCTGCCGCTTTTGTGACATTTTCAAAGCCCAAGGCACAAAACACTAATTTCACTATGCTTCGATATACCGTACCATGTAGAGCTAGAATAGTATCAAGAAATTTATGGACCTGGGATTGTGATAACAGTGTTGTTTGTTGAGAAAACATAAAGACAAACATGCGGTATCCAATGAAAGTAATACAACTACATTATCAGCACAATATATACTAAGTGTTTGTGAGGCCACTGACGTGGATGATGACACTATTTTGTTTTGGAGTGGCGGATGGATGATAATGTATACCAAAAAAAAAAAAAATTTTATAAATTCGTAGCGTTCAAAAGTAATTAAAGTTCTTTGGAATACCACTACTTATACAGTAAAAAAAGAAAAAAAGATTGTATAGATCACGAGGTTTTGAATTTGGAAGATTTGTGTAGTTTTGAGGTGGGTTTGAAAATTTTCACCACAGTTTCTTAGAGGGTTTGTTGCTTCATTTTCATTCCACGGAGGTTTAAGCCACGCGCCAATGGCTGCCATGAAAAATCAGTAAATTGCATACAGTGAAAGAGGAAGGATTGATTGTGAGTAGGGTCCACAGCAAACCGTGTGGGTCCCATATAGCTGATAAGTATTTAGCGCGAGTATGTCATTCAACTTGCAGAGGTTTGCTTCATATTCACCGCTCAATTTTTAATATTAGTTTATTTCATGTCAATCCATCAATTTATATTTATATTTTAATTTGATCCTCGGACTCTAAATTAGTTGGAATTTCATGAGTAAAACACGTGTTTAGAATAATGACACGAATTGAACGAAATAATATGGTTTGGTCTTGATTATGATTGAGCTAATTTATTTCATTTCAATCCATCAATTTATATTTATATTTTAATTTGATCCCCCGACTCTAAATTAGTTGGAATTTCATGAGTAAAACACGTGTTTAGAATAATGACACGAATTGAACGAAATAATATGGTTTGGTCTTGATTATGATTGAGCTAATTTATTTCATTTCAATCCATCAATTTATATTTATATTTTAATTTGATCCCCCGACTCTAAATTAATTGGAATTTCATGAGTAAAACACGTGTTTAGAATAATGACACGAATTGAACGAAATAATACGGTTTAGTCTTGATTATGATTGAGTTAGGTATTCCTTGTACCTTCTATGGAGATAAGTGTGTTTAAAATGAGTAATATAAAACTATCATTACCTACATAATCAACCATACATACAAACTTTTAGGAAATATCGTAAACGGTCTCCGACCTTTGAAAATGGAGCATTTGAGCCTAAGACCTTTCATTCGTAGCATGTGAGTCTTCAACTTTTAACATTTGAATTATTTAGGTTTCAGTCCAATACATTAAATTTACGATTATTTATATACTTGGACATTTTGAAATTGATTATAACTATGGCGTTATGCTTTGTTAACTTTCGCAAAAAAATTATTTACTCGAAAATGGGCAAATTTTAGTAAAAGCAAGTTATTTAATGTGTTGGCATCCGACCTTCGAGGTCGATAAAGTCTATCGAGGCCGAAGGCAACATAATGATGGAAGATTTCTTACACATTGTACTAACAGTCAATTAGTAAGTGGCATATGGATGATCTTACATTAGCGTTCGCCAAGTCTACCAATCATATGCTTTAACTTCCTTCCCTAAGTAATTCATTAATTGTTGGGAACCACCTGTGAGGTTAAACTCATGATGACTTGACAAGCGAACTCGTTAACCAATCTAAACATACCAATAATGTGCCTTCTCAATTCGGTACTGTAACTGATAAGATGGGAAAAGCATGATATATGTAGATTTCTCCCCATAAAAAGGAGGAGGGGAAGAAAAAGGAAGAGGAGACGGACTTCCACTGAAAAATACTCTTACATTTCATATTTCAAATATCTCATTGAGGGAAAAGAGTAAACAGTTGTAGTTATAATTATAATTTACAAGTAGTTGTCAATAAAAATTCTTATTTCCATTTTAAGTTGGCTTGAATTTTGTTCATATAATTTTCGATGTCAACAGTTTGACTCTAGAAAGATGGCCCTAGCTTCTAAAAGCAGGCATATCTCTTTAAAAATTATATCTACAAAGAAGGATGATTTTTTAGCCAGCATCTGGAAATCGATCTTACACTCACCCTGAATAAACCAACAATCAACAAAATGCTGGAAGAAGACGAGGTCAAAACGAAGCTGTCGATCCTCAAATGACTATAATGAAGGAAGCCATTAAAAAGTTGACAAATGTAGTCAACAGGTTAGAGTGAAACCAAATCCACGTTCTACCACAGGACATCGAGGTGGATTCTCCACACAGGGAGAAAACTAGATGACCTCACACCAGAAGGACTCTCCAGTTCTCAGGAGAAGAATCCTCCAAAAGCTTAACTGAAGAAATCAAAAGCTCTTTCATAACGGCTAAGCCCAGTCGCTAAGAGAACTAAAGCGTATTTGATAGATTGGGTTTTCAACACTCCCTAACACCTGTGAGCAGGCATGATGAACCTTATGTCGAACGCTTAGTAGAACGACCGAGCCAGAAATGAGTGCTTTGAAAAAATGTATTGTTTACCTGGAAGCTAAGGACAAAGGAAACATGGAAGAATACCTTACAAAATGCCATTCTCCCTTCACTGGGGACATCCTTGCTGAACCTCTACCCGAAAAGTTAAAGATGCCACAACTAATCGGGTACGAAGGAGAAGGAGATCCTCTAAGCCATTTGGACAAATACACTCCCTGGATGGAACTACAAGGAGCAAGAGATCCCATAATGTATTGTGCTTTCCCATTGACATTGGGAGATAATGCTCAAATGTGGTTTAGAAGGATACACCAAAGATCCATAAAAACTGAAATGATCTTGCCACGGCATTTCTTGCCCAATTTATGGGTTCAAAAGTGAGGACCACACCTAATGAACGATTGGTAAGTATTAAACAAGGGAAGATTGAGTCACTCAAAATTTATCTTAACAGATTCAACAAGCAGTCCATGGAAGTTGAGAAGATTTCCGATGATGCCGCGCTTATGGCAGTCCTTTCGGGGCTAAGGCCAAAAACAAAGTTGTGGTGGTCTGTACACGAGGATGGACCTAGGATGTACCACGAGTTCCTAGGCCGTGCTGAAAAATATATAAGCGTTGAGGAGGCCACGTCTGACCAGGAAGAACCCAAACCAAATCCATCGTCTTCATCTCGAGTAAAGGAGAAAATGTGGATAAAGGTTTTAGCCACGAAAGGAGAAAAGACAGAAGGGATCAAGGTCGTCCTAAGCCTTATTCGGATAGATTCCATGAATATCATCCGCTAAATGCCACCCTGGATGAGGTTTTCTTGCAAGCGGAAGAAAAATAAACATTTCGTAGACTCCCACTTCAGAAAAAGGAGTTGGCAGGGAAAAATAAAGGGAGGTAATGTCGATACCATAGGACGACATGACATAATACTGATAATTGCAGGAATTTGAAGAAGAGGTGGAATCCTTAATTCGACGAGGTCACCTGCAAGAGTTCGTAGCTAAACCCAGAGAAGCAAATCAAGTAGGCAATCAGCAACCAAATCAACGAGGAATGACTCAGCCAGACCCACAAGCTCGAGATCCCCTACCTCGAGCCGAGATCACAACTCTAATAAGTGGCAATAAGTGCCTCGAAGGGTCCAGGAGAGCCAGACGTAAACAAGCACGCAATGCCCGCATATGCCAAAATTATAATGTGATGTTATCAGAACCTAAGACTAACATAGCATCATACTCAGGATGGTTTGGGTTTTCAGAAGAAGATTCATACGTTATTTTACAAGACCAAAGTGATGCATTGGTCATAACTATGACTGTCGCAGGGGTACAGGTGCATCGGACTCTGGTTATTAACGGGAGTTCGGTCAATGTGCTTTACTCCCCGAACACTGGAACAAATGGGAATCCAAGAACGCTATATCCAGCCATATTCCAGGAGGTTGCAAGGGTTCTCCGGAGATCCTATTGAAGCACGATGACAAATTATTTTAAGTGTAGAGTTAGGCGAACTCCCTCGCGAGAGAAGGATCTTATCAGATTTTATTGGTTGCGATCTCCCTTCCAACTACAATGTCGTATTAGGAAGACTCATATTATATGAGTTACAAGCTGCCACCTCGATATATCATTATTTCCGTATATAAGCAATGCAACACGAGATACTATAATGAGAAGGTTAGAAAATGGGAGTTCGAGGTCGGTAATCTAGTGTTAAGAAAAAGATTTCTAGCTACAAGGGAACCTAACTCTGGATCTCTAGGACCTAACTGGGAAAGCCCTTACAAAGTAACCAAAGTACTACTTAAGGGGGCTTATGATTTCCTACAAGGAAATCATTTAAGCTCTGCATATGAGCAGACCGAACTAAGGTTGCATGCGTTGCAACACTTAGTGGAATTTCTTACAAGGAAATCATTTAAACCCTACATATGAGCAGGCTGAACTAAAGTTGCATGTATTACAACACTTAGTGGAATTTCCTACAAGGAAATTATTTAAACCTTGCGTGTGAGCAGGCCGAACTAAGGTTGCATGTGCTACAACACTTAGTGGAATTTCCTACGAGGAAATCATTTAAAGAACGGGCTGAACTAAGGTTGCATGTGTTGCAACACCCAGTTCAAATAGGCGTAGCAAGTTTCATTTTTCATAATAAGAGTTGCAGAAGTAATAATATTTTACGCAGAACAAAAACAAAATTGATTGTCATTCCTTAATGGATCAAGATTTCAAAAATAAGTTCCTGAAGAAATTATAAAGTTCAACCAAAGCCAAAAATAACAACAAATAAAGCTATGAGGCTGGTGGGTCCTCTGGCATGAACTCATCAGCAATGTCTTTGTCGACAAGAGAGATTCGAACTCCTGTCGCCTTTGACAACTGCTCTAGCTTCTTCTTCTGTTCCTTGTATACCTCCACCAAAAATGAAGTGTCAAAGTTTGGCCTTTTTCTGTTGATGTGCTTTATAAATCTCCCAAGGCCATAAC